AGAACCTTTCATGTAGACACGCTGTTTTCACTGAACGGAATAGGAATGGTTATATTTTAATACTTGTTTTATTGGCATCAGCGTCTTTTAGTATAACCGTTGTTCTATCAGTTGGCGCGTCGCTCAATGAACTCATTTAATAAAGCACCGATCATGAGTCAAGACAAACAGTTGAACCCATACAGACAACTACAGAAATCGGCAACGCTAGGTTATACCATGAGCTATAAGAGACATGGATTTCGACTAACCAGTTAGCAATTGCTTACAAATAAAGTCGTCTACTTACAAATAGAGTCGTCCATTTACCTCTGTGATCGAACTCTAGTACGTGTACAACACTCATGTCACTACTCTCAACCCTCTTCTCCGCAGAGGTTCGGGCGTTCGTAAAAGAGATTTCGTGCCGAGGGCCTTCTCGACTTTTCTAAGTGGCGGGCGGGAGAATACCCTAGCCAAGACTGAACTAACACCCTTGCTGATTGGTCCATTCATACGAACAGGCTGATTGGTTCAAATAATCCTAAAGAAATACGGTGGACGTGGCGAGTTTTTATACGAAAAAATGTATGAATAGTTAGCTTTTCATGTCGTATTTTAGGCTTCCATGGAATATTCATCGCTTAGTGGTTTACTAGGTACTGAAACATTCTGAAAAAGAAGTTGTGTTTGCCACTGTTGTACTGTAATGCCCTCAATTAATTATGATGAATGGTCTTGAAGTGTCGCTTCCAGTCGTTATCTGCTCGGTTCTGCAAAGAAAGGTTGAATTTGATTTAAATAGTTTGACTTTGGCGGGAGTCATGCAAATGGCATAAGATTCGCTCGCTTAACATGTAGCGTTACGTTCATTTATGCTGTTTCGCCGAATTCCCAAATCGTCAGGTAAATGTCGACTTTCATCGTGTCTCGTATTTCCAATGTTATTTCCAATGTTGCAATTAGTCGCTCCGCTGTTTATGTAACATGTTTGTGCATTTTTATCTTAGAAGCCACTGGCAATGAGTCGACAAGAAATAAACCCCTGTACGTCCTAAAATTGTTGCTGCTGCATTAGTTACAGTCAGTAAAACATACAGTAGCTCATTTCCCTAGCAAATAGGGTCTTAGTCCATTAAAACCTCATTAGGCCTCTTCTCTGCCAAGACTGGGAACTTTATCGTATATTTGGCCTGTCGGCGATTCAAGAAGTCGAAAGTGGGAATCAACCCAAGTCATTTTAGGTCTTACAACTGGATTTAGAAAAATGAGTTCTTAGTCTTTCTCGCCTAAAAATAGCTAAAAATCACTGACCGCAATCCATCAAACATAACAGAGATATTGCATAAAATAAAAATATTTCCTAACCATTACCATAATTGATCACTACCATGTTCAGCCGTTCTGAAGCTTTCTACTGAATAAAAACTAAAATATGAATTTAAGATTTTTTGTCTTACCTCAGCACCAGAACAAAAGCCGATTTTAAAGTTGTCAGCTACTGTTCTGGTGCTGAGGTAAGAGGAAAAATCTTAAATTAAGATTTTATTTTTTACGGAGTAAGGGCCTTCATAGACTAGACATTTAGTTGTCGACAACTATTTGCTATCGACAACTAAATGCACACATCTAAGCATGTCTATTGCATTTTGAGCATGCGCAGTGGACGTTATTTCTCAAGCTCTCGCTGGCCTGACTTATTTATCGACAACTAACACTGTGCGGAATGCTCGCATCGGACACAATTAGTAGCCGACAACATTTAGATCTCGATAACAAATATTTGTCTACAGTCTGTGAAGGCCCTAAATGACATTGCCAAAACGACAATAACAACAGCAACGAGACAGAAAATGTGGGAAAACGAAGTAGAAGTTAAAAGACTTAAAATATACCCCCTGTCCAAAAAATAGGCACCCAAAGGGTACATGTGTGGGATACTCCTTTGCATTAACTGACACGAGCCGATGACAATATATAGTGCGGGACACCACAGGTATCTCACACAAAAAGGTAATTATGTCTGTTTTCGTTTTTAACTTGGAAAATCCATGTTGTAGGTATGGATGTGAGATTCACACCATCCTTCCTTCCTCCCTTCCTTCCGTCGATTCCTGTCAGTCTTTTTGTGATCGAATCCGCTGACCAATGCATTAAGCTTTCGCAGTCGTAGCGAAGTTCAAACTATGCTCGATCTGCAATCTGAAGGCAGGCTGAAACGACTTCCTTACGGAGTGATTAATTTTAATTTTTATCAGCAAGTTTTTCACATTGTTCTTTTTGACACAAGTACTCAATATTTTACTGCCACAATGATCTAAATTGAATAGATTTTCGTACGAACATCTCTGTGTATAGAAGCTAATTAGACAAATAGCTCATTTCCCGAAGGTGTCCGCTTAATACAGGTTTAACCATACTCGATTGCTAAAAAAGAAGATATTAAAAATCACACAATTGTTGAACTGTAGGAATTTTCGAATGATTCAAGCCGTGACTGAAATTTTTAGACGATCAACAGACTAGAAAATTGAGGAGAATTTGAACGACGCGTTTCGCTATTATTTGTACGGTATTGTAAATAAATACAAATAAATACGGACATGGAGAAATGATATGAACAAACAGTTGATAAATAGGAGAAAAGACATTACACAAGGCAGGGAGTTCTGCAGTCACCGATATCGCTTTGAAAAGGGAAGAAAAAAAAAAAAAGAAAAGAAAAAAGAAGTTATTACAAAAGAGGGTATTTCTATTTGGTCACCCAGCCAAATAGGAACCACGCCGAACAGGGCTTAACTTTTTGATCGGACGAGACTCGGTGTTGCCCTTGTGGTATAATGAATCCACGTTGAAAACAGTGTTTTGATTTCTAAGATCCATTAAAAGGTAACAAATTAAGAAAAAAGAAAAGAAAATGAGAATTATTACTTGCTTTGGTGATCGGAATAACTTCATGAATGTTTTCAGCGGTGTCACATCTCGTGTATTCTGTTACCGTTGCATTTCTTAACAATGCTTCAAGTGTCTCTACGGCCAACAGGGTTTTTGTGGTTTTGGTATCTCTATAACATTTAAAAATGTATTCAAACCAAACAAAAATCAATTCCGGTGCTTTTTTGCCAAGAAATCAAGCTTTAAATTTCCCGCTTCGACCACGCCCAATGAAGTTGACCGCGTAATGAAAGATTGGTGACAAATGATGTAACTTCAAGAACACCTCAAAGCTTCATGTTTTTATTTTGCTTGATCGACGACCGCATTGTTCCACCAACTTCGCTTTGTTTGCTTTTTGTCGACGAAAACTCCTAACCACTACTGAAACAACAGTGACCTGAACTAGCAGGATGTGGCAATTCCTGACTTGACGTCACGACCCATTCAGAAACCGAGACTTTTTTTGCACTGATTCACGGACAACTTCATTGGGCGTGGCTGAAGCGGGAACTTTAAAGTTAGATCTTTGGGCGTTAAAATGTCGGAATCCAATATTTTTTCTTAGAATATCGTTTTACACATTATAGAGATACCAAAACAGCAAAAAACCCTGTTGGCCGTATAGACACTTTAACCTACGGATTAAAACATCAGTTCAGTAGCATCAAATTTCCACTGTTTACATATGATCCATTTTCCAAGTTGAGTGGCTCAAAGCCACTTTGATCTTATCTTTTCAACATCGACAAGTGCATCTGGAGGCGGGCCAGACCGTCTCTTTTACAAAACGACAAGGGTATTAGCAGTCGGATCTCTTTCGATGTTTCCAGCATTCCTCATGGAGTCAGACAAAACCGAACAAAAGACAAGTGGCCGCCTTTCGGAGATTCTTCGTTGCGTTTTGTATGCGGTTGTGGTTGTGTTTCTTGTGTTATGTAACATCGTCTTATTTTTGGAACAACAACACACGAAGCAAAGATTGACTGCGCTCGAGGACAAAATGATAACCAAGGAGACGTTGAAGAAGTTCTTTCCTGCAAGTCAATCAAACAGCGCGGACAAACATGAACGGCCTGATGGTAAAGCTTTGCTTATCAGGGAGAAGAGAGCTCTGGTCTTGAGTCTTGAAACCCTCGAGAAACGACTGAAAGTTCTAGAATTGAGGTGAGATTCCGTTTTTCTTCCCAACATACGCTACCACGGGTGAAGATTAATCACCTTCAGCTGCTAAAACGGTCATGCATCATTGCGCTAAGCAAAAGCAGGCATAGTTACATTGGAAAGTCGCCAGGTTAAGATAGTCTTTTTGTCACCAGGATGATCACACTATACAAACTATCGATACTCCTGGATCCTCGTGGGTTCAAACCATTTACTATGCTACATTCTTTTCTGGTTAAAAAGTTTATTCCGGGCTCTTTGAACTACTTTTTATAACTATGGTTGTCATGTGATAGCATAGGTCGAGATTTTCTTCTTTTACTGTCAAGATATACAGGAAATGTTGGGTGTGACTATTCAGGTCAATTCCAAAAGAGTCAGATGGAACCTAAAGGCGTTAGAAGCGACCTCATGGTAAACAGATATGTCCTGATACTTTTTTGTGGGTCAAGCCACAAGCCGGGAGATGCCACTAGTAAGATACTACGTTGGAATTTTCTAATTAAAAAGAGAACCCGAAGGAGCATCCAGATAGACCTCACAAATTATTCTAAAAAAACTTCTTTATTTGGGTTTTTATTCTTCTCTTAATTTTCTCTATTTTTCATTTGACTTCATTTTCACGTTTCCGTCAAGTGGCTATTCTCACACTAACCATTATCATACATTTCCTAGTTTTATCTTCGTCTTTCCTGAGTTGATCAGGTCGTTAATTCTCATAAGCTCTCTAGTTTAATTTTCTACAAAGTGGTAAAGAGAATTAAGGAAGCAATAAGTACTGAAAAAAGAAGTTTCAACAATATGTTCGTTTGTTTTAAGTTTGCATGTAGGTTTCTGTTTCCTTTTTCAGGGCTCTCCGTGAAAACAAATCATTTCCTAGAGAAGAATCGAGAGGGAGAGAATCATATAAAGGTTCGTATCATTCCAAAACAGATCCCACAAATTAGAGCTGTATTCTGGGTCAAACGTTCGAGCCCATTTGGTACCTGTGAATTACGGTGTTTCCGTAATTAAATTGTCCGTATAAACATTTATCACCTGGTGAAATAACAGGACATTGGAAACATCGACAATTACTTCAATTGTTGCTTTATAAAAGAAATGTTCTCAAAAAATATATACCCGTGTTTGAAAACCTCTCTGAAAATACGGAGAACTTTCTGTGTTCTTAAAAGTTAGCTAGTGCTATTTTCAAGGCTTCTAGTCTAGGGCCGCAGGCTTAAAAGGCTGACGAGGACTGGGGCGTGATGAATGCAAGCTGACTTGTTGCACGATGGGTAAAAAAAGAGGAAACTGAACCCCTCCCCATGAGCGAGAAAAAATGGGAAAAGAGAAAGAACATTTCTTTGTTCCAATATTTCTAAGCCTATTGTGTCTGCCTTTTTACTTACACGACATGAGTTGTTATCTGGATCATTCCTGATACGATCGACTTTACACAACAAAAATTCGACAGTTACATTGTATAAGCAATTATTTTCTTTTGCAAAGGACGGGACGGGCGGGACGGCAGAGATGGTCCCACGGGTCCCCCGGGATCACCAGGGCTTCCAGGACATCCAGGAACAACAGGGATACCAGGAACACCAGGAACACCAGGTTAGGGAGCACGAAGCATTGTTATTAGTACTTGTGACAAATGAAAATGAAAATTTGTTTCTTGGAAGGCCCCCCTCGGAGAAAAAGGACAAGATTGGGTTAATTACGTACAAGCACCGTTTTGCTTAGAACTCATATTTCCTTGATAAGGTTTGAATAACGTTTGACTTCTGAGAACTGATGATGTATATCAGCCAGGTAATCAACAAGGCTATTGTTCTGATTTAATTGGAGAAATCTTTTCGCCAAATGTAGTGTATTGTTCCCACATAGAAACGTTGCGCCAGAGCTTAGGTTTAGGTACAACGAGCGCTTCACAGAAGCTTACGTACACCTTTGGAGAAGTCAAAGCTCGAAATCAATACTATATTCAGGGCCAAATTAGCACAACCGATCATTGTAGATGAAGGTAACTGGTAGCGAAAAGAACAATTTGCTTTCTTCATTACTTCAATTCTCCATTATATCTTCAGGTCGTGACGGCCGTGACGGCAGAAAAGGCTCTGCTGGAGCCCGAGGCCTGCCGGGACCAAAAGGTATCCATTACGATTTATTTAGAAATAGAAAAGATTTCACTAAAAAAGTTAACGTTAAAAAGCAACGACGTTTCGACCGTTGGACGGTCATTTCCAAGTTGAAAAGTAAAATTTTTGCATGCGCCCAAATATATGCAATCGATTATAAGAATGCTATTGAGACACTGACTAAACTCTAAAATATTTGCATAGAAACAATACAAGAAATAATTAAGTAAATAGCTTTGCGTGGATCGAGTCATTCTGTATGTTCAATTTTGGTTGAAGTTTACGAATAAAAAACATTTCAAAAATCAAACAGTCCAGTTTACTCTGACATTTTTTCAAAATCCTGAAATTGCTTCCAATGGTCTCTGTATCCTTTCCGTGCTCATACTTTACGTGGTTGCCGATTGTTGATCGTTTATGTTCCTCCACACGTTGCTGTAGGTGTCGACTCGTGAAGCCGACATAGTCTGCATCGCACAGACCACACTTGTAATAATAAACAACGTTTTGTTGATTCACAATTGGAGGCTTATGTTCCTTTGGTTTGAATTGTCCTTTGATCTTCTGACTTGTGTAAACAGGCTGGACAACGGCATCAATCTTTGATCTCAGCTTTTTAACGTTAACTTTCTTAGTGAAATCCGTTTCTAAAAATTTGTTGATTCGAATTTAGAAAAGATTTCACGTGTTTCAATCGAGTTAAAAAAAAAAAAAAAAAAAAAAAA